TTTGTCCTATCATGTTTTTCCATTTTCCATTCTTCCCAAACCTGGTATAAGAACGCTCCAGTTTAACTGTTTCCTTGGGTCTTCATTTTTCTATAAAGGATGCTGTATTTATGTTTTATGTTTCACATAAAACTTACATGAAATAAATTACATGCTCTTCTTCTTTTAACTTTGGTCAACTTAATTTTCAGCAGAAGCCAGGGATCCAATGAGGGCTGAGAAAAAGATGTGTCTCCCCTGCAAGCTCACCTTTTCCCTTCCCTCCTTCTTGCAGGGTAGATTACCCAGAAAGCACCCTCTAAGATGGAGATTAGCGAGCAGGTTTGTTAGGGAGTTCTCATGGGATCAACATCTGGAGAAGGGAAGGGAAGGAAGTCAAATTGGGCAGAGGGAGAAACTGAGCTACAATGTAGTCACAAAGAAGGTCTCAGCCCGCTGGACAGGGAATTCTTTGCTGGGAATGTCTTTCTGAGTCATCCAAGTTGAGGCAGAGAGCTCGGTACTCTACACCCCCTTGTCAATCAGTCATTAGATGCAGCCCTCCACAGAAGGGGGCATGACAGTGGCAAGGAGGCAGCTCTCTTCCACCAAGGCAACCCCCTAGGGTGCTGACAACTGAGGGCTGTTAGCAGGCAGCTCTCCTAGCAGCTGCCTCAATGCCTCTCTTTTTAAGGATGATCTTAGTAGCTTATCACAGCCTCCACCCACCACTCCTCCTTCTTCCTAATCATGCTTCTTGGGAAATACAAACCTTCTTCATCTCAGCCTCAGCAAGTGCTAATTGAGAGAAGATTATACAATTGCTTGATTTTTCTCCAATTTACCCTGTGCCTTATAAAAGTAGATCCAGTTTGGAGAGTTAGGGCTGGGCAAAGGGTGGAGTTGAGGTGGTGATGTGGGATGGCCCTGACCCGACAGTAAAAGCTATCAGTTACTGAATTTGTCTTCTGGTCTTAGGATGATTCTGCTTTCCTTTAAAATCCTTCAGCATAGGTAGTGTGATATTACAAGCTTGCTGAATATATAACCTGGTAATGATGAGCAGCCCAGTCAAGAATGAATGGTTCAGCGAACACTCCCAGTACGTTGGGAAGTGGAGGCAGGCAGATCACTTGAGGTCAGGAGTTCGAGACCAGCCTGGACAACATGGTGAAACCCCATCTCTACGAATATACAAAAAAAAAATTAGCTAGGTGGGGTGATGCCTGCCTGTAGTACCAAGTACTCAGGAGGCCGAGGCAGGAGAATCGCTTGAACCCAGGGGGCAGAGTGAGCTTAGATTGCACCACTGCACCCCAGCCTAGGCAACAGAGAAAGATTTCATCTCAAAAGAGAAAAAAAAAAGAATGAAAGAATCAATGGTTCAAGGAAGGCCAGAAAGCTCATTCTAGAAGCTGACTGCTGCAAGCCCTTGTTTTTTACATCTCGGGTAACAACGAAAGCTTTGTTAACTAGCACCCATAATGTCAGAAATGAGAGTGTGCGTGTCTGTTTAAGTAATGGCCTCTTAACCAGCTTAATGCATATTAGAAATGGGTTCTCACTGGTGAAATTAAGGCATTCACAATATATGGATTGGCTTAAATCATGGAGAGACATGCCACTTGTTTTCATGAACATGATAGAATCCGGGGAAATCTGTAGACTTTACCCTAACCATTTAATGCTCTCATGAATGAGTCTTTTCATGCTAGGTGGTGGCTGCAATAAAATAGGCTGTATGAGCTGTTTTTGTGCCTGCTTGCTGAAACAGTAATAATTGATAAGCCCTCCCGTGTGTGGTAGAGATTCCCTTTCTTTAAAACTCAGAAACAAAGCCATGTAGAGAGTGGCAAACCCTCAGCACCTCAAACCTCTTCACTGGCTGCTTTTGTGGTACACCACAAAAGAACCTGGGGTTGTCCTCTACCAAATTGTCTCTGGTCAGTTTGCATCTGGGCACAGTACCTGGTGGTATGTGAATGTATTTCATTTAATGCCCACAACAACACTATCAAGTAGATAGTGTTGTTTATACCCATTTTATGAATGAGAAGCCTAAACCTCAGAGTGATTTAATAACTCACCCAAGGTCTTCGTAGTAGATCCAACCAGGATTTGGACCCAGGTCTGTTTGTTCTCCAAGTTCTTTACTTCCGGCCAATACTGCCTGCACGAGGGCTGTGTAGGAAGTCAGGAGGGGAAATGAAATGGGCACAGGTCTTCCTGGTTGGCTATTCTCAATTCTTACATGACCATGTACCAGAATGGTATTAGGAGCTGGTCATGGTTGTTGATGCCTATAATCCCAGCACTTTGGGAGACTGAGGTGGGCGGATCATCTGAGGTCAGGAGTTTAAGACCAGCCTGGCCAACTTGGTGAAACTCCATCTCTACTAAAAATATAAAAATTAGCTGAGTGTGGTGGTGTGTGCCTGTAATCCCAGCTACTTGGGAAGTGGAGGCATGAGAATTGCTTAAACCCAGAAGGCAGAGATTCAATGAGCAGAGATCATGCCTCTTGCTCTGGGTGACAGATCAAGACTCCATCTAAAAAAAAGAAAAGAACAGTGTATTAGGGAGGTGGCCTACTTACCTGGATGTCTATGTGGCACATCTCCAAAAGGTTTAAGCCCTTCCATGTGCCTTGGGAATTTTTAAAATTTCACCAATAAGAGCTCATTTCTAATATTCATCAGGCTGGTCAAGAGGCCAATATATTTACCCCCCAAATAAACAAATACCTAAAAATAAAACAAAACTCATTTCTGACATTCTGGATGCTAAGGCCTGGTGACTGTGCTGCCATGAGCCATCCAGGTGGTTCTCATCAAGGTGCTTCAACCTTCCAAGCTTTGCTTACTTTCTCCAGAAGGGAAGTCTTGCCCCCTAAAGGTTTATGTTTGTGACATATGTGTGTGTGTTATGAAGTACAAAGTAGGACACCAAGGCTGTGGAACAATAATGAGACTGAAAATAGGCTAAAATGCCCCTAGAGGAGGCATCTGCTGCCCAGACAAGAACTTCAGAAAGTGTGGGCTTTCTGGGCTGAGCGCGGTGGCTCATGCTGGTAATCCTAGCAGTTTGGGAGCTGAGATGGGTGGATTGCTTGCACTCAGGAGTTCCAGACCAGCCTGGCAAACATGGCAAAACCTCATCTCTAATAAAAATACAAAAATTAGCCAGGCATGGTGGTGGGCACCTGAAATCCTAGCTACTCAGGAGGCTGAGGCACGAGAATTGCTTGAACATGGGAGGTAGCCAAGATCATGCTACTGTACTCCAGCCTGGGTGACAGTGAGACTCTGTCTCAAAAAAAAAGAAAAGAAAGTGTGGGCTTTCCATAGCTGGACTGTGGGCCGGTGGAAAGAGGAATGCCTCTGGAACCAGCCCCCTGGTGTAGAAGATGGTGTTGGCCCCCTATCTCCTGACTGTGGCATTCACCATTGCTGTATGCAACACCAGCTTCTTACCATAGAAACCTGCAACTCTGTGTGGGGCTGCCTCTGGCCACAGGAGCATGCTCAGTCCATGGCCAGGCTGGAAGTGCCCAGGGTTGTCCCCAAGAGCAGCCCCAACCAAAGATGAAGGGAATTGGGTAAAGCTCATGCTCCCTAGCCTCTGGGAGGATGGCTCTGAGGCAGGTTCTATTCTACCGACTCCCCGGAGTTCCCAGTGGGAATGAGCTTCATTGCACAGAGATGACCTGCTCGTGAACACACTCTCGCTCCACTTCCTTCTCTCCATTTCACTTCCCTATCCCCCGACCAGTGTTCCCTGGGCCCACTTCCCTTATTAACTGTGTGTGCTCATTTGCCTCCATGGGAACCAGATTACCTGGTTCAAATCCGAACTCTGCCACTGGCCAGCTGCGTCTTAGGAACATTACTCCACTCCCCTGAACTGCAGCATCCTTGGCTGGGACTGTGAGATGACAGAAGTAGAACAAGCCTCACCAGACAGGTGTCAATAGTTTAGAGCAGCATCGGGCATTCAGCAGACACACAATAAATGCTAGCTTTGTTTTTATTATTTATTATAATCATTGCTTATTATTGATAGCCCCTGAGATTTCCTTGGCCAAGTCCAAGTCCATTCTGAGAGTTCTAAGCTCTCAAACTTCAGACTTCCACGGGGTGACTCTCCCTGGTTGTTTCAGGGAATCTAATTTATTTATTCACTTAAGGTATCTTTAGCAAATATTGACTTAACACCTATTATGTCGAAGACACAGTACGACGGTGGATATAAAAAATGAGGTCACGGTCTCCAGGGAGATAAGACGTATCCACACACAGCTACGGTCTAAGGCAAATTGTGATAAGTGCTCTTGTGTGTGCCAATAGAGCATAAAGTGAGCTCAGAGAAGGGTGAAGGAAACTGTGTGTGGTATGAAGGAGTATTGGAGGAGTTGGGTTTGGGAAGGGGTGGAACTGCAGCAGAAGAGATGGAGGGGAGAGGATACAATACATAGAAAGGGGAAAGTGATGCCCTCTAGGATTCTGGCATCCCAGAGACGACTCAACAGTATCTTAATGTGTGATCCCATGATTGATGAGCCTCTATCTCTCAGAGCCAAGGGGACAGCAGATTCTCCCCCCAAATTATTACCGTTCCTAACACATAGCACTTACCCTGCCTTAGGAACTACAGGGGATGTGCTACCTACGTTAACTGATTTAATCTTCACCTTCAGGGTCAGCACAACTATGATCACTTGACAGATAGGGAAACTGAGGCTAGCGGGGTTAAATATCTTGCTCTAGCTCCCGCGGAAGCCAAGTGCCTGTCTTCTAATCCCACGCACTCTGGCCCCAGGGTTCACACACTCCACTGCCTCTCAAGTGTGGCATCTTTTCAGGATTTTAAGGGAATATGTTGCTGTGATGTTGACAAGGCTAGAGGAGAGACAGAAAGAAAGCCCTTCAGCTCCATAGAGGAAGTCCCCAAATGATGTATAGTTCTGGAAGTTATGAGTTACCAGGACAACGCACCCTCCTCACCCTGGCCACGCCCCCCTCAGCCTGGCCACACCCCCGGGCTCCCGCTCACTGGTTGCAAAACAACCTCGTCCCTCCACGGAGCTTCCCTTCCTGGGGCCTGCTGGGGAAGCACCGGCGGCTTATGGTGGCTGTGGTTTGGTGCTCGGGACCCACACGTAAAAGGAGCTCATTCTGAGGCAGGGGTACGCGCTTGTCCCCCCTCCCCTCCAGTAGGTGGTACAGGGGCGAGTTTGATCCTAAACAAAACAGGGCAGGGTCTTCGTGTTTGTTTTCTTCCAGCGGGGAGCAAAGGCTGCTAATTGGATATAGTGAAGTGACCGATTTATTATTCTTTTATCCGTGCTGAGTAGAGCTGTAGGAAATCTCCGGGCTGGAGCAGCACAGTGGGGTGTCTCGGGGGTCTCTCTCCGAAGGAGTTGACAGTGGGGACCAAAGCTGCCGGCTGCCATGTTTTATTTGGCCTGCCCAGTGTTTAAAAATATATTTTTTAAAAAGTTCTTAAATAGATGCTGACATTTTTAAAAAGAAATAGATAAAAAAAAAATAGATTAAAAAGTTCTTGAATAGATGCTGACATTTTTAAAAAGGGAAGATTATTCATACACTTCTACATTTCCGGTTTGTGTCAAGAAATGGGAAGATCTGGGCCCAGATCCCCATAAGTCCCCTTTTAGAGGTCCAGAGTCCCGGCCACCAGCCCTGCTCCCCTTTCTCACCTCTCTGGCCCCTTTGGCATTTGAGCCTGGGACCCCTGACGAAGGGATGCCTTTCCTCTTAGGACCCCCGCCAATCTGAGGACAGGGCCACCCCACAGACGCTGTGGCTCAGCAGGCAGATCAATGGCCGAGGAGTCTGGCAAGGGGCGCTTGGTGAGTGGGTTTAATGGCAGATTAAGCTGCCCATTAGGAAACCATTAAAACACAGCGTGATGCATCACTGGGTAAACGAGAGAGGCTGAAGTTAGAGACAGGTTCTTGGAGCGCTTGATCCAATTTAATTCTTCTATTTTTTTTTAAACCCTAGGCAGATGAGAGTGGAGGCTGTAAATTACCCTCTATGCAATGGCTCATCATAAAGGATATGGAGCGAAATTAGAGGAGGCACGAGAAGGAAAGCCCGTGATGAACAAGGCAGGGGCTGCTGCTGCGTGATTGAAGACAGGCTGGGAACTCGGGAGAAGCCGCTGGAAATTGACTTGGGTTGGAGGTCTGATTCCAGCATCCCAAGCCAGAAGAGCCCCGGGCGAAGCCTTCTGCTCTGCCTTGCGGAGTAGGATAGGGAATATGTGTGCAGAATACTTCCTGAGACTCATAGTGCTATCTACATGGAATGTGAAGTCAGAATGTCTCTAAATCCTGGCTCCGTTGGGTTTTGGCTGTGTGACTTTGGGTAAGTTACTTAACCTCTCTGAGTCACATTCTCCACCTGTGTTAAAGGAGGTAGTCATGGCAAATGCAAAGGGCGATGCTGGATATCAGGGTGGGCACCTGCTAAATGGTGCTTTCTTCTGTTTAATGTTGTAAAAGATATAAACGAGTGGTCCCCAAACGAGGGTAAATTTTACTTCCCCTCTAGCTCAGGTGGCACTTGTTGGGGAGATCAAGCAGGTTCTGTTCCTCCCTAGTAAAAGCAGAAAGGCTTTCCTGGGCGGGGTCCTCTGAGTGCTGGAAGAGAAGGAGAATATCCACAGGTGCGCCTTGAGGCTCACGTAGGCAACGTTATGGTGGGTGAACTCAGCGAGGAGGCAGGAGGGCAGCCTTGCACACACAGGGCACTTGTGGGTCCCCAGCACTGGATACCAGCTGTGCTTATTGAATGGATGTGCTGCCCTCAACCCCCAAATCTGTTCTCTGCCCTTCTCTATCCACTCTGTGCCATAGGATACTGACCCTGGCAGTACTTCACCCGGTGTCTTTCTCTGGCTCTCCCAAAAGCAGAATAAAGATGTAAGGGCAGCCTGTTTCTTGGGGAGGTTATGGTGAACGTAAAGGTTCCCCTTCCAGGAGGGACTGATTGCCCCTTGTTGGCTCCCTCAGGATCTGCCTTAACTGCAGAGACAGCCATGGACATGCCCTCCTGGGCTGCTCACATCATCTGCATGGGGGTACAGAAGTCCGGCCATTCAGCCCATGAGAGACTCAGGACATGTTCCCAGCAACTTGCTGGGCTCCCCAAGGTTCTCCCTCTGCCCAGAGCTATTTCCTCCCCATTCCTTTCACAGGTGTTGATTCCCTGATAAACACCTTGCCCCTCATATTCCCATCTCAGAGTCTGCTTAGGGAGAATCCAACCTGTGTCAGATTTGGTCGCAGGACTCAGAGCGAGGGAGCAGGGAAAGAGGACAGGACAGGGGGAGAGTCAATTTCAGGGTGTGTTGTCTAAGACAGAGGCTAGGGCCTCTGAGATGGGTACGAGATTCGTAGAGCCATTCACTGGGCAGCATCTGTCCATCAGCTCCCAGGCCCCACAGAACCAGAGCTGCCTGTGGGGGCTTTCACTGCCCTGCATTTCTGGGCTTCACATACGCACTGGCTGAGAGGGCGCCCTATCTTCAAAGATGATCCTGAACAGAAAGTGGGTGTCCTAGGGGTGGCCTGCTGTTGTGAGAGTCTGAGCTTTGTGAGAAGCAGACCTGGGGGGTGTGGTGTGGGGCATCCCAAAGTGCCTGGCATTAGGTGCCTGGCCTTGGGGAGGAGCCCATGGGAGTTCTGAGGACAGAAGAAGAGGTAGGTGGGGTGAATCCTTCCCTGTCCCCTCCCTGCCTCAGCACCAGGGCTCAGGCAGAAGTGCTGCCAGCTCTTCCTCAGCAGAAACACGGCCCTGCTCCCCTCGTCCCTTCAGGCTGAGAAACATACGGGCTTCCCATGGTTGCTGGTGTCTGAGTGCCTCAACCTCCCTTGCTGGCTCCTTTCCCCTGCCCACACCTTTGTCAATGGTCCCCCCACTGAAGTCTCTTTGGTTGAGCAGTTAGTGGGGATGCTGACTGATACAATGGTCTAGGCCACAGCTCACTGCTTAAAGCCTGGCATCAGAGTGACCTTCCAGGGCCCTGCAAGCTCCCCACTCTCCAACTCCTCCAACTCTTCTCCCTCCCAGCCGGTCTGGGTTCCCTATGGCATCTACTTACTTTTGAATCTACTTCTTGTAGATAAATGTGTGTCCTCCTCTCTCACAGCCTTACCTTTTGGTTTGGAGGAAGAAAAACACTCATTTGTGTAAAGCTATTAAATGTTTTCCTTTCACAAACACCAGTTTTGTACATCAGAAGCACTGCCTTTCATGCCTATTGTATTCTCGGAAATCAGCTTCGAGTGCCCGTTTCAGAAGTTGAAATCTGAACGTCAGCTCTTTCTTCCTCTCTTCATTCCTGCCACACAATTCTAATCCTCTCCAGTGTGATGGATCCCTCTGGCTGGGTAGAAGGGAGATCATTTAAAGGAAATGTGAAAAAGAAAAGAGTAGTATGCCATTTCAAGAGATATTTCTCCTGACAGTTATTTTCAACAGGTGACAGGCATCAATACTGAGGAAAAATTCTTGGGTGAATATAAACCACTCCCCACCCCCATCCCCAACACACATATTCAAGAAATTCCAGAATGCCCAGTGAGTGCGTTCATTCCACTCATATTTAGTACCTAACTACATGCCAAGGAGCTGGGTGCTAAGAACAAAAAGTATGATTCCTGCCCTCTGCCAGAGTTTGTGATCTGTGTCGATGCATTAGAGAGTAAGCCAATGATTACACAAAATGTGAAGTTGCAATTTTGCCTTTGCACTTGCTGTTCCCTCTGGCCGGAATGCTTGTCCCTGCAAGGTATCTGCCTGGCTTCCTCCCTGCCTCCCCTAGGCCTTTTCACAATCATTACTCTTCACTGATGGCCTTCTTGGCCTCACATTCTGTTAACATTCCTGCTCTTTTTTTCTCTCTAGCATACTTCTCTGTTTATGGACAGTCTGTCCCAGAATGTAAGCTTCATAAGAATCAAGATTTCCTTTTCACAAAATCTTTTCTTGTTCTCTGCAGAGAACAAAATTCCCAGAGCAGAGAACAGCGCATGGGATATAGTAGGTACTCAAACACTGTTTATTGAATGAATAAACATTGACCACACTAAGTGCTAATAAGTGTGGGCTGAGAAGGATTAGCGACAAGAGGCTTCCCAAGGGAAGTGATGGTTGGGCTGATCTAAGGAAAACTGGGAAGCATTAAGTAGGCCTGAAGGAGAGGGAAATGACTCCGTGCAGGAAACACTAGCATGTGTCAAGGTCCTGGGTGAGCAGGAGTATGGTGGGCTTAAGAAACCAGAAATTCAGGGGATTCAAGCACAGAGGATGGGAAAGAGATGTGATGAGGGATTAATAAGAAAGCTCACACTTAGGACTGTCACACAGTGCTGGGAACTAGGCCAACCTTCACACAAGTCTGGGAGAAAGGTACTGGACCTATTCCCATTTTACAGATGAGGAAATCAAGGCCCAGGTAATACAGGTAACTTGCACAAGTTACAAACCTAATGAGCAGCAGAATTAGAGTTCCAATGCAGGAACTTTGACTCCAGAAGCCTAAGTTCTGAAATCCATGTGGCTTTCAGTCTCCAGGAGGAGGAGGGGGGCGGGTTGGCACAGGTAGGGCTTTGTAGTGACATAGAATCCCAGGTTGGGGCTAGGATAGAGCCGGTATAAACAGGCTGGATATCTCCTGGGATGGTTCTTACAGACCTCCCAACTCCCCACTCCCCACCCAACCCCACCACACCCCATGCCACCCCACCCCATCTCCAGAGCTGCACATGCTCTGATTGTATTGACCTTAAAAAGCTTGCTTCCATTCTAGTCAGGATGGGCAAAATCAGTCTAAATTCCCTGAAGATTTGGCCATGAACCAATAAGATCCCTTCAGAGATGAGTATAAAGCTAGTGCTCTGTTCTCTGAGATGATGGGTTATTTAAAAAAACATTAATTAGGTCATTTGCAATGCTTTGTGAGTGGCCGAGGCTGCTGACTAGAATCCCCTTGGGACTTTTAAAATATTCAGATGCCCAGGCTGCACCCTCACCAATTACATCAGAGTCTCTTGGGTGGGCCCCAGGCATCAGTATTTTTTTTAAAGCTCCCTGAGGATGCCCAATGAGCAATCAAGTTTGAGAATCAACAGTCCAGTCCACAGCTACTCAAAGGCTGGAGCAGGGATCAGTGGCATCAGCATCCTTGAGAAGCTTCTTAAAAATGCAGAATCTCAGGCCCTTTCCCAGACCTACTGATTCAGAATCTGCATTTTATTTAATTTTTGTTTTATTTCTTCTAAAAACGGAGATACATGTGCAAAATGTCCATTTTTATTATATAGGTTATGTGTATCATGGTGGTTTGCTGCAAATATTGACCCATCCTCTAAGCTCCCTCCCCTCACCCCCACCCCGAACCCCCAATCCCCAACAGGCCCTGGTGTGTGCTGTTCCTCTCTCTGTGTCCATGTGTTCACAGTGTTCAACTCCCACTTATGAGTGAGAACATGCAGTGTTTGGTTTTCTGTTCCTGTGTTAGTTTGCTAAGGATGATGGCTTCCAGCTTCTTCCATGTCCCTGCAAAGGGACATAACCTTTTTACATAACCTCATGTGGTCAGTGGCCATGGTGGTGGACCATGCAGTTCTGGAGCAGAGCTTTTCAAACTTGTGTGGATTCTTTAAGAATTGGCATTTTAACGTGGAAATTCCTATCCACATAAGTTTGAGAAGCCCTGCTCCAGAATTGCATGATCTACTACCATAGCCACTAACCAAAGGTTATTTAGATTTAAATTAAAAATTCAGCTCCTTAGTTGTACTGGCTACATAGATTTCAACTGCTCAATACCACAAATCACTGGCTGGTGGCCACCATATTGGACACTACAGATACAGAATAGCCTGATCGTTGCCGGAAGGTTATGGACAGCACTGCTCCAGAACATTCTGGAGTGGTGGTAATCCACAGTCTTTTTTCCTGTGGATGCTGCAGGCATACAGACAGTGCTACCCTCCCTGGATGCGACAAAATTAAGATACATTCAACCAGGCACACAGGGGATGTATCTAGATCATTGATTTTCCGCTCATTTGAAATAAATCAAGGACATGGCCATGTCTTCCCAAGCCCTAAATACGTGCAATTTATAGGGTGGGGAATAGATGAATGGGGAAGAAAGGAAAGAAGAAATGCAAGAAGATCAATTTCAGGTGCTAGAACAGGATGCAAAAGGGTTAGCCCGGGCCCCCACACCTCCCTGTCAGTCTCAGTACTGCCCGCTAATCACAAGGCAGGAGAGCGCTCAGCAAGCAGGTGCAAATAAGAAAAGAGGGCATTTAGTTAGCTAAATAATAGCCAAGCTGTTGTGTGACGAGGCT